CAATTTGGATGTTTCATAATATATCTTTTTAGAGCCACTATTGTTGAATTGTTTCCAAACATCATTAAAATTTCCGTCAGCACAGTTGAACTTATTTCCCAACATATAAGGTCTTTCTTTATCACATTTGGATTGCTTCACAAAATCATTTAGAGCTACTTTCATCAATTCTAAATTGTTTCAAAACATCGTTTATACGTGTTTTTAATTACAGTTTTACTACATCATTTAGATAAAGATATCGTCACTATTGCTGAATTGTTTCAAAGTCTCACGTAAAGTTTTCGTCGTCATAGGTCAATTGTTTAACAATAATATTTGATATTTGAATTGTTTCACGACATCAGTAAAAGCTTCCGTTATCACAGTCCAGTTGCTTTACAATAATATTTCGTCTTTTTGTCGTTATTTTGAATTGTTTCACTACATCATTTAAAGCTTTCGTCATCACAGTCCAGTTGTTTCACAATAATATTTAGTCTTTTTGTCGTCACATTTGAATTGTTTCACGAGATCATTAAAAGCTTTCCTCATCTCCGTTCAGTTGTTTCACATCTTTTTGTCGTCACGTTTGAATTGTTTCACGACATCATTAAAAGCTGTCGAAATCACAGTTGAATTGCTTTACTACATGTCATCATTGTCTAATTGTTTCAGAATATTATTTGAGCTTTTGTCAAACAATACAATTTTTCATAAAATCATTTGGAAACATCATTTAAAGATTTTATCATCTGAAATTAAATGTTTTCACATGATATATTAATTGATGATGAAGTTAAATCCAGAAATGCGCTTCAGACGCAACTTAACAAAGTGTTTTTTTAAAAAGATTATTTAGAGTAAATTGTATCCCATGATTGCTGCGGTTTCATGGGTGGAGAGAATATGCATGATATTCATTTTTGGATATCTTTATTGTTGATTTGCTTTGACATTGACGTTCGTAAAAATATATGTGTGTAGTTGATATTCATATTCAACGTAAAAAAATGAATATAATTGTCTTGTTCTGTAAACATTATATATGGTATTATAGTATAGATTTTCTGTTTTATAAAGATGACAGATGTCAGATAACCATGTTATTAATACTTATTAAGGCCATTGTATAATTCAATATTTATGTTACATGGCATTATAAGTACACTTAATGAATAGGATAACAATAATGCATGTTGATTGCTTTTTATTTTATAAAACTAATATGTTATTTTCGGAAACGTTCAGAGTGTCTACATGTGATATTGTCTATATTAGCTAAATGGTAGATGGTGTTTTCAATGAAAATCTAGTTCTTGATCCAAATCGAGAATCAGAAGAAAGCATAATTCAGTTCTAATAAAAATAATTTCATACCTTTTTTTTTTAGAAACATCTTTTCGTGGTAGAATTTCAGTGAAAATTGATATATAGGTTTATCATACTGTTCAATTACATTATGTATATCAGCTTTTGCGAATTACTATTCAAATCTAACAACAATAAACGCGAAACTTTAAATAAAAAGCTGAAAGACAGATAAATTATAGGAAACATGTCTGAATTTCGAATAAAATACGTTTAATTTACAGTGTAAATTGAAAAGGCTATTAAACTGTTAAGAAGCCAAATCAGAGTTGAGATTTAATACAGTTGATTCGCAAATAATGAGAAGTTATTGAAACAAAAAGAATTTCCCAATGAATTACAGACAAAGTCATATAGTTCGTTCTTTGTTTTGAGTAATAACGTTCGTTGACATTGGTTTATCTGATTTAACACGGTCGCAGTAATAATTTAAAAGTCATATTAGCAGAAAAGACTAAAGACCTAAGGGTTAATGGACAATGAAATGAAAAATCCTAATATTATACACAAAACAACAAACTTAAATGAAACAAAATCGTTCACGAAATAATCTTGTATAAAATACCTAATTTATAAGAATAAGAAAAAGATAGTCGTTGTAAAGTGCTTCAAGATTTTTCAGTTAATAATACTACATCATATACAAACTTTTGCTTCTTCTTTTTAGCTCACCTGGCCCGTCGTCGTTAGCTTTTTACAAAAATCTTCTCCTCTGAAACCACAGGGCCAAATTTAACCAATCTTGGCCACAATCATCATTAGGGTATCTAGTTTAAAAAATGTGTCCGATGACCCCGCCAACCAACCAAGATGGCCGCCATGGCTAAAAATAGAACATAGGGGTAAAATGTAGATTTTGGCTTATATCTCTGAAACCAAAGCATTTAGAGTAAATCTGACATAGGGTAAAACTGATAATCAGGTCAAGATCTATCTGCCCTGAAATTTTCAGACAAATCTGACAACCTGTTGTTGGGTTGCTGCCCCTGAATTGGTAATTTTAAGGAAATTTTGCAGTTTTTGGTTATTATCTTGAATATTATTATAGATAGAGATAAACTGTAAACAGCAATAATGTTCAGCAAAGTAAGATCTACAAATAAGTTGTCATGACCAAAATTGTCAGTCGACCCCTTTAGGAGTTATTGCCCTTAATAGTCAATTTTTAACAATTTTTTGTAAATTTTTGTAATCTTTTACAAAAATCTTCTTCTCTAAAACTACTGAGACAAATTTAACCATACTTAGCCATAATCATTATTAGGGTATCTAGTTTAAAAAATTTGTCCGATGACCCCGCCTTCCAACCATCATGGCCGACTTGGTTAAAAATAGAACATAGGGGTAAAATGCAGTTTTTGGTTTATATCTCTGAAACTAAAGCATTTAGAGCAAATCTGACAGGTGGCAAAAATGTTCATCAGATTTAGATTTATCTGCCCTGAAATTTTCAGACGAATCTGACAACCCATTGTTGGGTTGCTGCCCCTGAGCTAGTAATTTTACAAAAATTTTGAAGTTTTTTGTTATTATCTTAGATATCATTATAATATCTAATATCTAATACTATTAATTATGATTTTAACCTTATTTTACATGATTTCCAAAGCATCAGTAAATACAGGTGAGCGACACAGGCTCTTGAGAGCCTCTAGTTTTTAAATGCATCTGATTGCCCCTTGAGATACCGTTATTCTAGGATGAATGCATGTTCCGGCTAGCCAATGGTAGCGATCCGGACCCTCTGAGGGGCCGTAACCCTTGGTTAGCGAGGATTGAATGAATGATTGTGTTCACTTACTTGTTGCTTGCTTAATGTCCAATGTCAAACACTTTATGCGTATTCAGAACGTGATCAAATTAACAATTAATACAATATGTAGGTTCTGTAGATATGGTCGACCGAGATTGTGATAAATTTGTACTGCCACAGCTAGATGATAGCAGGTTGGATACGGGGTCTTTGACTTCTGGAACAATCCTGAAGTTTATTATATTTCTGTATTGTATTTTTAGTCAGTTGCTGTAGCAAACCATTTTTTTCTTCAAAAACTTAAAGGTGGTCTCCAAGTTCCCTGTGATTTTATCAAGTGTTGGCTTTATATATTAAATTTTTAAATAATGTGTTATGTCCACATGCTTCTAGGATGAATATACATGGGTGTTGAGTATACGTCAATGAGACGGTAACGCAATGACACAAAAATACTACTCTTACAGTGAACATATTAAGGTCGTCAATAGTAGACAAATTTTAACCAATACTTCAAGCTCTAAGTCACTTCGTATGTTACAGTTTAATTATATCATACGAACTAGCCAAACGACACTGTTTAATGCAGAGGTGGACTGGCGGTAATGTTTAAGCACTGGTTTTTATTTTACATTAGAAATCTTTTCATTTACTGAATTCTATTTTTTTTTAATTTGACTGCATTTCTATGAGACTTCCTGTGTTTGCAAGAAGAAAATAGATAATTAGCATGTTTGTAGTCATTGATAGAATACACAGCGAGTGCTATATAAATATATCATGTTATGATGACAATTTTCCATTAGCTGTGACAATGTAAATTAGCATACAAATTGAAAATAACTCCTTGTAGGAATGTTCTGTAATTTTCTGGCTTACAGTAATATGCGATAAAGAAATCAAGTTGAAATTTTCCAAAAAAGACAATTACTAAGAATAATTATAAATGTCCAATCAAATTATGTTTCAAACATTATGTGATTTTAGCACTTTATATACAAACAGTGGGACATACTGACATTTTTCAAAAATCTAAAATACAACATAGCTACGAAAATATAGATCCCTTCTTCTTCTTCTTTTCTTCTTCTTCTTCTTGTGAAAAATAACACTTAGAAATCACTGAATATGCACAAAAAAAAGCAACAACATATCATAGCTTGATCATTTAGAGCATATTTGCTGTTATTCTAGATGTATGCTGCAACCTTTAGGAATAGGCTCCATGCCTTTCAGAGTTAATATTTTTAACTGATTGTAATCGATTATGTAATTTATCAATCGATTATCAAGTTATATTGCCTCATCCAACCGATTTTTGATTATAATCGATCATCAGAACATCACTAACTGTATTCAATAGGGTATTTTTTTTTATTATTTTCTGCTGATAGTGGCCATCTCAAAGGTTCCATGATTAAATATTGTTGATATCATTAGTCTCTAATGAAAACGTATGATACATACTTCAATGATTGATTTGTTTAATTAAGTACCGTTACTGAGTTGTTGTAGTGATCTTGTAACAGTTTGTTTGTGAAACTTTGATACAAAGAATCTTGACAAAAGCGTCATATATATTTTATTTACCCTACTTCTTATTTCCTTAAATATGTCTCCAATAGTTGGAGTACACCTTTCCACGAGTTAAAATGATTAACACAAAAATTAATAGGCCAGTAAAATACTGTTTTCAGTTAGATTTCCACAATAATCTTTTTCAACAGGCATTTCCTACACATTATGTGATACATGTTACATACCAACATCATTTTCTTATTCGCTCATAAACATTTGACAGTGATTAACACACAAATGGAAATAAATTGTGAATATCTTGTATGTTTTATTAATTATATAATTCTACATATATTATTTGCTTTTATTTGTAGGTTTATGATGTTGGTGATACTATGCATGTCAGAACAGCAGGATATAGTGGAAAAGCAGGTTTCAAGACAGCGTTGTTTCTGTTTGTAAGTGTTACCATTCTCATTATGCGAGAAATGAATCTTGAATTCGACTTCAAAATTATGTTACGTTAATAGACTTTGATGCCATGGAATTTTAAGATTGTTTTTATTTTTATTTTCAGTTGTTCAGTAAAGGGAAGTTGATACGGTCATATGAAGTATCCCCAGGAACAGTTACCGACATCTTGATTGAACAAAGTATGGGTTTGGCTCCATCAGCTTCTTTATTGTTATATGCAGTTTCTAATGAAAATGAACTTGTTGCAGATGAGATGAAAATAATGGTGTCTGGTCTTATTAAAAATCAGGTATATACTTTTTACATTACTAACTGTGGTGATAGGATGTGAAAACTGTTTTCATTATCATTCACATCCTCATTAGTAAGTAATATATATATTGTTTAACTATGCCGTGATTGATATTGCATGACATATTGATATTTCGCTCAAACGTTCATGCAGCCTTTCCTGTTGTATTTCTAGAACCTCTTTGAATCCATTTGAATAGAAGACCTGTTTATACTTTTATCCTTATCAACTTAAAATTTCTGGATTATAGTGTTTATCAGTGTCACAATTTATTGCCGATAAGACTTCAAGTCATATTTATATGATATCATGACCATAATTTACCCAATCAGAGTACACACAGAACCCTGTATACAAGCTATATTGATTTTAATAATATTTACACAACGGTTTAAAAAATCAACATTTTGAGACACAATTTTTAACAAAACTTTAACATAACTTTTAAATCGAAATTGTCACTTCATTAAATAGTGAGATCTTGTGAATAGTCAGTACAATGCATTGGTTTTATTTTTTATCTTGGTAAATTAAGGCGACAGTAGTTACTGATGTTAAAAAAACTAAGATTATACTGTGTTTTTGTGGGTCCAAAAAAAATCGAAGAAAATTATATGTGTAACGAAAAATAAGCATCTGGCTTCAATGTTAAAATGATCTAAAGGGCTGACCTTTTTGTGTTCGTATGGCTGTGAAAGAGGTATACTTAAACAGCCACAGCCTGTTGGAATTGGGCGGTTAAATCCCATGCACTGTTAACATGTTGGGTAGATGTCAGGCTCGCACGTTGAAAACCCATTGCAACAACTTCATGATGCGTCTGTAGGTGGCCTGTTGCAAGGCAAAATGTCTGTCCTAATCAAAGGCACACCCATTTTCCAGTGATAGTCCTAACTCCCACTTTCTAGAACCTACTTTTTGTATTGCTTGTTAATTTATTCTCGTCCTTAAATGCATGATCTACTTGCCAAGCATACATCATTCAATCAATAAATAAATTTTAAAGGTTGTAGTGTAAAATACTACACATTTGTTTTTGCCGAGGGCCCGTACAATACGAATGTTTGTGGGCAGTTAAATATTGATGCATGCTATAGGTATAGCTTAAGAGAAGGAAATGCCTGTATCAAGACAGGAATATGACAGTAGTTTTTCATTCGTTTGATGTGTTTGAGCTTTTGATATTGCCATTTGATCTAGGACTTTCCGTTTTGAATTTCCTTAGAGTTCGGTATTTTTGTTATTTTACTTTTTTTATGTACACCTAGATACACCGTCTGTGCACCAATAACAAGTTGATGTTGTAATTAATGGTCAAATTTCAGAGCTGTCAATCAAAGCACCGGTATTCTTCAATAAATAAAAATTAACACATAATTACATGTTTCAACAACTTTTTGATACAGTTGATTGTGTACATCGTTAATAATTGTATATGTAATATTTATATATTTGTAGATGACTATGCAGTACAGTGTTAAAAGACAAATGGTTGGTAGAGATGTCAGTTTAACTGTTACCGCCGATCCAAATTCCTTCATATTTTTAGTTGCTATTGACAAAGGTTCTCAACTATTAAAAGCGCCCAACGACATAACGTTTCAACAGGTAGGTTTAACAAAGAACAATATAAAAATAAGGAGATGTGGTATGATTGCCAATGAGACAACTATCCACCAAAGTTCAAATGAAGTGGAGGTAAGCAATTATAGGCAACAGTACGGCCTTCAACAAATGGAGAAAAACTAATACCTTATAGTCAGCTATAAAAGGCCCCAACATGAAAAATATGAAACAATTCAATTGAGAAAACTAACGGCCTATTTTATAACAAAACAATTTATGAAAAACAGATATGGCAGACATGAACCAACGACAACCACTGACTGAACTACATGCGCCTGACTTGGGACAGGCACATAAAGAATGAGGAGGGGTTAAACATTTTTGTGAGCGCTCAACCCTCCCCTAACCTGGGACAGTGGTGTTACAGCACAACATAAGATCAAACTATAAAAAACAGTTGAAAAAAGCTTAACTCATCAGATCGATACAAAGAAAAACATCAAACAAAAACACAGAAAGGACATGGCAGGGTATATATTCATCCCTCATCCCTAATAACAAAAACGGCACTAAGAACAGATCTGAGAGTACTCACAGTTACTGACAGCTAGTTTAAAGCCAATAACAACTAATAAACAAAATCATGTATCTAAGACCAAGACAACAAATGTCAAATAATAATATGATATTTTATTTTGGAGTATTTGTAAAGTATAACTTACAATCTTGAAGGAACAAATTAAAATAAAAGATCACACGAGAGCATACGTATGGCATCGATTATTATACAGAAAGAACGCATTTTTTATTATATGTATTAAATGGTATACAAGCAGAGATTATTAAGCTGGTACAAACCTGTAACACTCGTTTAGTTTAAAAGTTTTGAGTTTATAGGCACTTGTTCAGTCTGGAAAACCCCCTTTAATAAAACTCATTTTGCATATCTTAAATTTGGTTGCAGCAAAAGTGAAGGTCTTGGTAGTTAGGTTGGGTATTACTTTTATGATTTAGAGTGGACAGTGGAGATAAAAAGATGATGAAGAGCTTAACACGAATATATTTTATAAGTTGATCTCATATCGGATTCAGTTATGTTAGCATTTTGAATCATGTTTTGAGCATCCTAAGTCATGTTTGGTTGACTTTGTCAATCTTCAACAATTGCTTATTTTTAATGTAAAATTGCCTTTTGAAAATTATAAGCTGTAACAAAAAGAAAACAATTAGTTTCATTTGTCAAATCTAATATTTATATAATGAAATGTTATGCATTGCCAAAACAGAAATCTCTAATTCCAAAGTTCAATATTTGCCAGTCTATACATAGAGAATTAACACAAGCATGCAAATAAAGACATTGCTCCCGTGTATTTTTGTAATATTGTGTAACAAACTTGCAAATATATATGCATTGCTGGTCATTTATACATTTGGGATCTTTGAGAATAATAATAAATGGAAATGCCAGCTTGAAGTGTTTTAAATGATATCAAAGGAAGTATTAAATAGCTGTGGTGTTACTTTTAAAAGTTGATTGACTGCAAATAAAAAAAAATTCTCAGTTCTGATTGAATTCTTGTTGCTTGTTAAATGTCCAGTGGTAAATATTATATGGTGTTGTTTCTTTATGTCTATCTTATTTAATGTTATGAAATATTTTTACCAGTACCTACAACATATTAATTATAACATATTAACTGATAAAGAAATCTGGCTAAGTGAACAACATTTATGTAATGTCTTCTTTTAGGTCAAGGAAGGTATAATGGAGTTTGATACTAGAGAGGAAAGAGATGACAATGACCCTTATCCTGGTCGAATAATGTTTCGAAAGAAAAGATTTGCTGTTGACAGGTTTTATCAGGGTACAGCAGCCAATGAAATTCTAGAGGTAATTTCAATAGCACATGTTGCTGAATAATCAAGAAGATGTAGCCCTTGGTGTAATGAAGCTTTCAATTGTTCAAACACGAAATTGTTTGATATGGCTTAAATATGGCCCTTTTTCTTTCTAAATTTAAAAGTAAGATATAATGGTCATTATCACAATGTATCATAATTTAAACAACGACATGATAGGAAATGAGTACTTTTTAATTATTAACGTATGTGTTCATTAAAAGAGAGGCGAAAGATACCAAAGGGATATTTAAAATCATCGAAAACAAACCGACAAAGCCATGACTAAAAACGAAAAACGACGACAAGACAAACAGTACACAAAACACAACAAGAAAACTAAAGACTGAGCAACACGAACCCCTTAGAAATACCTGAAGGCACACATTTTCAATTTCAAACTAAATTCAATAAAAACAGGCCGACTTCCATTGCCTGTTAGGAGGGGAAACAATGGTCATATGCCGACCAAGAAGGTCTTTTAGCAATAATTTGATTATTTAATTTGAATATATAGTTTTTTAAACCGCACGTTACATGTTTCTTAGATCTAGTGAGGTTTTAAACTAGAAAATTACGTCAACTTTCACAAAAAAAAACAACAGTTCTTTCGCGCTTGTTTTTGCATCACTGGCAACACTATTTATCTGGAAATAAAATACTTATTATTTTCTCAAATGATATAGCAAGCCATAAAAGGTCCCGAAGTGACAAATATAAAACAATTCGAACGAAAATACTAGCAACCTGATTTATGTTCAAAACAATAAACGAAAAACAAACAAATATGATGTACAGCAACACACGACAACCTCTGATTTACAGGCTCCTGACTTGGGACAAGCACATACATTATGTGGCGGGGTTAAACATGTTTGCGGGCACCCAACGCTCCCCTAACTTTTACCGAACTACTCCTTTCAAACGGGTATTATACTGAGATATAAAATAAAATAAAAGGTATCAATCTGATTCAAAACACGATGCTAAAAAACAGTTTTATAAATATATTTAATCATCACGTCGAAAGATGAGAACCAAGCAAGAGATAAACATTACAATATGTACAATTTCAATGGGGTAGGATTCTAAATATAAAACACCAACAGAAATTCAAAAACCTTGTAAAAGGGGACAGACGATACCAAAGCAACAATCGAAATTCATAAGTAGAAGAGAAACCGACAAAACCATGGCAAAAATACGAGCAATGACCTAAAGACAAACAACACTCAAATTAAAACATGAATCCCACCAAAACCCCAGGGTGATCGCAAGTGATCAGTAAGGGTAAGTAGATCTTGCTTCACATGTGGCGACTGTCGTGTTGCAAATGAGCAAGTGCTACTACATAAAACTTTCGGTAGATGATTCGTCTGTGGCCACCTTTTGATAGCAGTTAATTGTATCATCAACAGTCAATATTTCGATTATGTCTCAGCTCAGATAGAAATTTTATCAATGAGAATAGATCTTATACTTATTCAAGAAAGCTTTAAAATAAAAGAATTGTCCCAAAAAAATCATGGTAATTTGAGAATGAAAAAACTTCAGCAATATACGTTTACTATTTATATACATATGAAATAAGAAACTTTTAATGGTATTTGAATCACAAACATCGTATTGCGTTTATGTTTTTTTCTATGTTTTTAGACTGTCGGGATAGTATGGATGACAGATGCATATGTAGCTGAAACCAATGATGGTAAGATGTTTTCAATGACGCTTTGTTTATCATCTTTTATTATCAGAGCTTTTAAATGTGTTTCATCTCTAACACATTTGAGGCTTTGTTATGGTCCAGAACATACTTTAACTAGGGGATATATTTTTGTATCTCTTTCAAAGAAGCTTGAAACTAAATGTATATGCTATGCTCTAGTCCACATCTACAGTAATAAGAAAAGCTTGTCGCTAATAGTCATGGGATTGAATTTAATTACAAATTAGCCTTTTTTGTAGATTAAAATGAATGATTTGTTTCTAGAAAAAAAATATTACTTTTATTAGATGAAAAGTACCCACTGTGATGAACTAAATGTTTCTTTTGACATACTATGTTTCTTCAGTGGTTAAGATCCTAGACATTTGGAATATGAAAACCTTTAACAGAGCTGAAGTACTTAAAAAATGGAAAACGACCAACAACCATATAAATAACATTTTTAAGAGTGAATACTTCTTTTCCAAACTGTAATATTCTCTTTAATGACAATGTTCACGCAAGTTGTAAGAACAAACGTTATTTGATAAATTTAAATACTTTTGTTTTTTGAAATCAAGGGGTCAAACAGTGGATGTATTATTTATTCTCTTTGGAATAAACTGTTAGGAATATAGGTTGGAAGACCGATCTTACCTTATAGAGTGAACTCCCCGAACAAGAAAATCATGTTATTGGTTAATCACAGAAACCGTAATAGATAAAGTCAAACGAAAGAGTTGGGAATGTTTCTTGACTCATGGCAATACTTCATTCTTTATTTTGGGATTTCTCCTCAAAATATTAACTGACTCAGTCAAAATGTTCAAACTCGAAGACTAAGTCATTAAAACCTAAGGGTATTCATTATTGGTGTCCTTGACGCCAGACCTTGTTTCAGGTCAATGTCTCCTAGCCCGTTTCATCTTTGGCCTTGCTATGAAATGCATTCTGAAACCACCATCGAAGGTTCCACAAATATCGTCAACGACAATTACTAATTGGACCTGATGTGTGACCTTGATGAAGGGCAAGTGGTCAAAGTTACTGTTACCTTCAACCTTAGAGATTTCTATGAGATGAACTAGAAAACCTTAATAGTTGTAGAAAAAGGAATATAACAAAACTCTTGCTTGGACCAATCGCATGAACATTTTTGTTTCAGGAATACAAAAACAATTCTATACTTTCTTTGTGTTTTCCAAACATTAGCAAGTTAACATTAGGCTGATAATTTTTGCATTGTCACTGACAAAGAACAAACCCTTGTTGGTTTATTCTTCTCGTTTTCAACCAGTGATGATTTTACTAAAATAGTCATCCAATGTTCTGACTTAGTTCTTAGAAATGTTAGAAGTCACTTTTGCTTAGCAGTATCATAGAAAACCGATTCCTTTCAAGTTCTTTCGCTTTACTTTGACAGCAGCTCCTGTTATAATAATGCAGATCTCTTTTTAATGATTTGTGGTATGCAACTTGGTTTAAATGACACAGAAAGCCTCTTTCGTCAGTATTTTTATGCAGAAGCACATCCAAGATTATTTTTATTTCAAATATTTTTTTATATATATAAAATTATATAACCTTTACATATATTAGACATACTAGTATGCAACTATATAGCATATTTTTGAAGTCTTGTATTCATACGTAGGTCAGGAATTATATGAATATGATGAGGGAGACTTTGCTATACCCAACTTAGATTATGGAAGCAACAAAAAAAGCGAAGGAGATCAAATTACCCAATCAGATTTATCGAATAAAGTTCGTAAAAATTTTCCGGAATCTTGGATCTGGTTGAATGATGTTGCAGGGTAAGATTTGCAACAAGGTCATAAAAATCTAAGTTTAAATTTTGGCTACAAGTGTATTGATCATCCTTTTTACTAGACACATATTCTGTTTAACAAGTTTGAACTTGGTCAAATGATACCAAATATATGTTACAGACAAAACTTTCAAAATTTATCCATTTTGTAGTAAGTTGAAACTCGTCCCTCTATCTTTTTCCATGACTGATTACCGAATTTATAATTGTAATGAGCAACACGATAACTTCCAACGTGCGTCTGGTGTACTAAATAATAAAACTAGTATCTTTAATATTTTTTTTTCAGACTTGTAGAACAAAAATTGATCATTCAAAACATGTTTAAGTTAGATTCATGTTGTTAGATCGTTAGTTCTATGTTATGGTTTGTTGGCTTTTTGTTTATTGTTTTGTATTTTGCCTATCATTTTCCTATAAAATTATTTACTCGTTGGTAACTCTTTATTTTTAAGTAATTAAAATAATAATTTAAATTATTTTATACCGTCCACTTAGTTACACTGTAAACCACCTATTGATGTGCAATTATCTGTTGTCGCGCTTTTTGTCTACAATCAAAGCAATATAATACCATAGTCCAATGAGGGATTATATCAACGATTTTGGTGATCTAAGTTTATTTGTATACCATGCGTAGCTCCCATAATAAATGCACATCAAAATTAGAAAGTTTTTAATTTTCTGAAACACAATATATGTATTTATATGGCAATGAGAAGTTTATCTCTTTGAAAAACACTTAAGGCCACATAGGCTTTAAGTTGGCCCTTAAAGTTGAACTTTGTAGTTATATCATATGCAAAATACCTATAACTGATCTTAAATATGCAAATTCATATAAACTATCAAACTATTTGTTTTTCGTTCATTGTTTTGTACATAAATCAGGCAATTAGTTTTCGTGTTTGAATTGTTTCACATTTGTCATTTCGGTGCCTTTTATAGCTGACAATGTGGTAAAGGTTTTGCTCATTGTTTAAGGCCGTACGGTGTTATAAATGTGTTAACCTCTATGGAAACACAACATTAAATTACTATTGGACTCAATCGAGGAATGTGACCGACACCTTCCAAAGTGAAAAAGAATACGTTGAATGGGTTAAGGCTGTAATGTCGTTGTTGCAAATCAGAATTTGCAGAAAAAAGCCTGATAGATCTATGAACACACATGCTGCAAGTCAACTATCTTTAAAGACCCAAATGTTGCGAAGCACCTGTCTTATCTCCATGACATTTATATGTTACCCCCTGCGACAAAGCCCCTGCCCCCACAAGATTTTTTGTTTGTTTGTAAATCATATTATTTAAGCATATTGATAAGTAAATTAGCTATTGACAACTCACTTAGAAATACAAGCTGTTTTACCCCATTACATTTTGTATATGTGTCTATTTTTAGGAGTCGGGTATTGTTAATTTGTGTCGTCTTTTGTATTGACCAATATGATTGGTAATTCCTATTATCCCTTTAATGACTATTTATAAACTCTCATTCGGCTTCCTAAAAGGGAAATCCAGAACTATCATAGGTTCATTTGATTTTCTTTAGGAATTTTAGATAAACTTTTATGAACTGAATCTTTTTTTTTAAGCTTTCTTGATACCAAAATTACTCATATGTCCTTACATTATAAACAACCTTATTTTAACAAATGCTGCACGAAACCTCTTTCCAATTATAAATTCTACTTTAACAATTATCAAAGCCAGGGTTCAGAAAAATTTAACAATATCTGCTTGATTACATACAATCTTAGTCCTCCTCGTGCAATAGTTAAAATCATTTGACTTCCCTAGACTTTTCCTGACGAATTGCTCTTTCTAAACTTCCTGTCGATTTATTTCATTGTTTGTATGAGAAATACTGCATACAGGAGTTCTTCAAGGAGATGAAAATGAAGGGGCTTTACCCTTTAACTTCGCTTTATAATGTCCTTTCACTGAATGATTCAAACTTTAGTGATATTCTATAAAGTAAAGTATATCTATAGAACTTTAATTAAACTTTACGACATACACTGTTAGTCTGCCCCGTATCTGAATACTTGTGTTATAGGACTATATTATGGTCATGGGCATATTTGTATGAAGTTGTAAACTGAATTATTCTCTCACGATTGGTTCAGCTCCTGTGCATATAAAGTAGGTTGTGCTCAATTCCTTAAAATAAAACGCCTGTTACAATCATAAGGCTTCTGCCTTTCATCTGTGGCGGGGGTAACCACAAGAACGGATGTAATGTACATTTACCTAATACATGTAAGACCTATTGTCTGACTGTCAACAAGTTATACATCTGCTAAATTTTACATTGTAAAGAACAAACTAAAACATTTTGAAATATTAAAACCTTGTAAGTATGCGAGATATGATGCATTTATATGTAGTGTATCATACGTTTCCATAAATAGACCTTATTTTCATGGATCATTAAAAATGTTTAGTTTCTGTAATACACCTGGTGTACGATTTTATGATCTTAAAGACATTCAGTATAAAATCTCAATCATCATATTTAAAGCATGCAAGAAATTTCAGCGTGTGCACACTTGTTTCAGCTTTTTGATGCAGTCTGGTCTAGCATTTCAGTTTAGAATAAGTGCATCACTTTTGGGTACTTTATTATTATTTTTCAAAACATCTATAAATAAAAGAGACATGTTTTACAGTCTTATTGGAAAATTTAAGCGGGCGTGCCCTCCCTTAATACGTTCTTGCCATGTCTTGGGAGAGAGTTGCACTTAATGTTTTATACGCTGTATATCCTCCTTTTGTCTGCACTTATTACACGGGTAGCTTTACAGTACCTTATATCACTCTTGGTTTGGTATTGCAAATACTTTTAATTTCTATATATTTATTATACTCATGTATCTTAACTTTAAGAACAAGTTTTCAGCTAAGTTTAATATTTACAATATGAAGTAGTGCATGAATGAAATATGCACTCAAAAATTCCTATTGAAAGAAATAAGATATAATTTTAATTTTGAAGGCATAATGTTTAACAACCACAAGTCAAAGAGTGTAAGCTATATTGCATTCACCTTGCTCGTCCGTCCATCATTTCGTTCAACATAGATTTCCGTCCCACTTTGCTCATGTACTACTAAACAGAATGACTTCATGTTTGGTCAGAAACTTGACAATGACACGTTTTAATGTGTTAGCACTTTTCAGATCTGTGAGACAGATAATTCCTGTTTGCCGATACTTCGAATTTTTCAATATATTGAATGAAAAAAAAAATTCCTCGCATATTTCTGCTGTACAACTAACCAGAATGACTCAAAATTTGTTCAACAACTAGGATTGAGCATTTTTCTGATTTGTCAGACACCTATTTCCTGTTTTCCGATTCTTTAAATCACGAGTGAATGCTTAGCACGACAACGCATGCATTCTTGTTTTATTTGGATCATTTATTATTTGGATTTTTATGTTCAATAAAATAGCGTTGTTATTGTTACCTTCTGCTTTATCAACCATTTCAGTGATGGAACAATGCTTATTTTAATCATATGTGATTTGATGGATGCATTTTGGTATTTTTAGTGTATCATGTTATTTGACATATTTGACAGCTAGAAGCTATATTAGACAACAACAACAAAAGGTGACATACACGGGTTAAGTGTTGACAATTCACGAATCTTTATGCCCTTTACATTTACGTAGATGATATCATGTATGACATGGTTCCTGAAGCTGGTGTTGCACTTGATATTGGAAACAAGCAAAATGACGGCTTAGGAGAAAAAATACAAACAGAATCAGAATCATCAAACAAAGTTCGTAAAAACTTTCCTGAAACCTGGATCTGGTTGAATGAAGTTACAGGGTGAGATAAGAATACATGTTACACAATCCAAGTTGAAATATGGCTGCAAGTGTAAACTATTGACTTGTTTTTTTTTTCATTTGAACTGTTTAGATATATGTTATACCTGATTTTTGGGGATTTAAATGAATAAATGTAGTGACAATATTTACAAGGAATACCTCTCTGAAAATTTTTTAAGAGGCCATAAGGTATTTTAATGTTCCAGAATCCATAGATTTCAGTAAAAAGCAGGATGTGAAACTACGCCATGTTAGTCATGCTGCAATTAGTTTGAAATTTGAACACAATGCATATTTCATTATATGTTTCCTGGTTTGGTTTGTTTTATGTAGAAGTACTTATGATTGACATGAAAAATTAATATTCATGGGACGTATTTATATTGTACTGGCTTGAGTGTTCGGAAAAGCGCTACAAAAGTTCCTCATCTGAACAATTAGCAAAACAATGAATACTTTTACAAGTAGCAGGATCAATGCTGTTGGAGATTAGATGACAACAACTTAAAACAGTGTATCCTTGAAAACAGAATGAAACATATGTTACATGTATTCACCTGAATAATTTACTTCAAATTAAAAGTAGACAGAATAATATTTATTTAATGTGTTACCATAATTCGGCTATAAAAGTAAACTATTCCATGATTAGTTTGAGGCAGATGAACTATCTTTACTCTCACAGTAGATTGCTTCATCAAACCCAATAACTTAGGACGACGAGAGGGGATAACGACCTTGACTACCCATGAGGGTCTTGCCCGGTCGGAAATTAGAATCTTATTATGTGACTAAATAATATTTATAAAATTATGAAAGGTTCTTTATATTGGTATATAATAATTTTAAACGTTTCAAAACAAATAAATAAAGTTTTATATATACACATAAATGACGCACCAAACGAATTAAGTATATTAGTTTGAAATTTTTTTAAACCTACTGAGAAAAATGCTCGAACTACTTGACTTTCATAGGTCATAATTAACGTGTTTACACATAAATATAGTATAGCCGTTAAACATTATTTGCCTCTAACAGTATAAGACAAAATACAGATTGTATGCTTTCACCAACTTACCCAAATAAAGGTTTAATTAAAGCCTGAACATTTTGACATTGTTTATTTTTATACGCCCGTTTACGGGACGTATTATGGTATACCGTTGTCCATCTGTCCGTCCGTCTGTCCGTCCTTCCGTCGTCAACATGTCGGACATTAACTCAAAAAAGCTTTAACCAATATGCATGAAACTTTGGTGAATTGTTTATATCTATTGACGTGAGCTCCCTTTCGTTTTTTATAAATTTCAGATTTACCGTTTCTGAGTTTTGGGGTTTTATTCATTAAAAAAGGGGGGATTTTCCAGTTTTCCGACAATAACTGAAGAATGCTTTCACCAACTTGCAAGAAATTTTGGTGAATTGTTTATATCTATTGACATGAGCTCCCTTTCGATTTTTATAAATTTTAGATTTTATGTTTCTGAGTTACAGGGTTTTATTCATAAAAAAGGGTGATTTTCCAGTTTTCTGACAATAACTAAAAAATGCTTTCAACAGTTCTCATGAAACTTTGGTGAATTGTTTATATCTGTTGATGTAAGCTCCCTTTAGAATTTTATAAATTTTAGATTTTACATTTCTGAGTTATGGGGTTTTATTCATTAAAAAAGGGGGGATTTTCCAGTTTTTGGACAATAACTCAAAAGTGCTTTCAGCAGTTCTCATGAAACTTTGGTGAATTATTTATAGCTATTGATGTAATCTCCCTATTGATTTTCATAAATTTCAAATATGACATTGAGAAGAAATTGAACTTTATTTGTTTATAGTCTGACAACAGATTTACTAAGTATTGCGCAACAGCACAGTGTATTGCACAACAGCAAGAAATCTTTAATTGAATATAAATTCAATTCATATAACCAATTTCAAGTTCTTTGACTACATTTATTCAGAAACCTATAATATGTCAAATATTTAATTACAATCCAAATTCAGACCTGTATCAAGCTTGAATATTGTGTCCATTTTTGCCCCAACTGTTCAGGGTTGGACCTCTGCGGGCGTATCCAGCTGGGCTCAGCGAAGCAGTTTATTTTTATCTGTGTCGGTTTTTTAATATTATCACAACTTCCTGTTAAGATTTGACTAAATACCCATATCCCGATATCGTCAGGTAAATATGCTACCTTATTGTATGAGATAACTGTCTGGCAAATGCTCGTTGTCTTTTGTCTCGTTCTAATTGATTAATGTCCACTTGACAATTAGTGTTTATCACGTAATTTGTTTATTGTTATTGTGAATACTAGGACAACTATATTGTGTACATTGCAAGGTATACATGTCCATCAGACAGGGTTTACTAGACCTTGACCTCATTTCACGGTTCAGTGATCAATGTTAAATTTTCATAATAAGGTTCATTTCTCAGGAACTGTTAGTAATTGATTAGTTGTAGTTGGTCCATAGAATGATTGCACGTCGTACATATCCATCTCATTTTCATGTGGTTCATTTATGATCTTACTTTGATATTATTATCACTGTTCATTGGTCATCTTTCCCGAAGGGTGACTGTGAAATGGAAATATGGTCACTCTTGGTCTTCTTCCGACCGGCAGTAAAACCCTTGCTACAGTGGTCCGTCCACTTGACTGTGTGCGATGTACAATTTTGTAGCCACGTCCGATCAGAATGGGGACGTTAGATCCGATGCCTCGTGTAGAGAGAGTGCCACGCTCTCTGCACGTTAAGAACCATTGCATCAACTCTTCGAGGAGTCCGTAGGTGGCATGCTGCAAAGCAAAGTTTCAGTCCATATCCAATGTACATTTATTTTCCAATGGCAGTTCAAATTTCCACGACCTTCATCCCAGACGACCTCTATTACAGGTGCTACCTATTATATTATTATAGTTTTTTTTTCTCGTTCTGAACATGCATGAAACATTTGCCACTGGACGTTAAGCAACAAAAAATCAATCAATTATTGGTCACTTAACTATGGTATTATTTTCATGGCTCATTGGTTAGTTTGAAGTTTTCATGATTATGCCCTTTTTCGCTTACTTCGAGGCGTAGACAGAATGTAAGATGTACTTTTCCTGACAGGATGTATCAGCCTTTGACCTCATTTTCATGGTTCGTTGGTCAACGATTCGTTTTCCTGATAAGGTTTGTTTCTCAGATACTGTCAATAATAGGTCAACTATATGGGTTTATTAAATGATTGTAAGGTGCCAATGTCCTGCTGAAAGGTTTCATGGTCCATCGGTCAAACTTACAGATACTGTAAGTTAAAGGTTAGCTATTTGTTGTATTAAATAATTGAGTGCATGGTGTCCTATCTGACAGATGTTATCTAACCTTGATCTTATTGAAATGGATTAGTGAAGTACATAATGTTTGGCCTTGTTCCAAAAATTTTTCAATATTAAATTCAATAGTAATCAGTAAAAGAGGCGAGACATCTCAGTGTGTGCAGTCTTGTATCACCATTTTGATGTTATGTCTGGTACAGAATTTCAGGATAAGTTCCTCACTTTTGTTTATTCTTAATGATTATTTTCAAATTTTGAATATTTTTAAGGAACTAACATATCTTTTACAAACTTACTGTAAATTATAAGCCTGGTTTTCTTTGACGAGTTTTTTATTGCTATGTTAAGAAGGAATGAATAGGTGTAATCCCTTTTTCGATTTGCTCTTGTCATGTACTGAGAGATTTTCACTTACATGTTTCATACTCTGTATACTCGTCTTCTGTTTGTACTAAATACTGGTGTATGATAATTTCAGTACATTATATCATGCTTGCTTTTTTGCACACTTTAAATTCTAATATGCTCATGTGAATTTGAGATCAAATTTTCAGCCGAGTTAAGATTTGAAATTGACTACCTTCTTGTAGTATTAATTTAAAAGAGAATTGAAATAGGACCTGGAAATAAGCTTGCATTCTAAAAAGCCTTTTGGAAGAAAATGATTATGATTTATATGTTAAAGAAATAATAATTTACAAATTACAAATATAAAAACTTTATTTGAACTATTTATTATTTGCATTTCATGTTCCTTTAAAGCCATTATCTATTGCTACCTTATAGTAATAGAATATTGCTTGCTTATTTCATCCATATGAGATATGGTGTATTTGATATATTTAGTTTATTGTATTTCCATGTCAGGCTTGACAAATAGCAATTTCTAAAACAAAAAACTATGACAAAAAGATAAGAATTTCAATTATAGGAATGTCATATCCATTCTTTTTTATTTGACATACAAGTATGCACATTTGCTTCAATATGCCACAAATTCATGCGCCATTTAAATATATATATATTTATATATAGATTATGAAATAATGTTTGCTATGGCTGGTGGTGCACCTGATGCTGATCGAAGAACCAGTGTAGTAGAAAACATACTGGTAGAATCAGAATCATCAAACAAAGTTCGTAAAAATTTTCCTGAAACTTGGATCTGGTTGAATGACGTAACAGGGTGAGATAAGACAACAGATCATAAAATCCAAGTTGAAATCTGGCTGCAAGTGCGAACTATGGTTATATATTTATATATTCGAATTGTAAAGATCAATGCAATATCACATTTTTGCTTAGAATAAAAAACAGCGAACATTGAACATTATTACAAGGGAATGAATATTCCCAAACTTGTTAACAGATAATTGATCCGGTGTAGGATGTTGAACCTGCATACAAAGATTTCAGTTTAAAGCATGATGCTTGGCTACCTTCTATCGATCATGTTGTAATGGTTCATAATTTGTTCAAAAGGATTCTTCAAATCTTAGATGCCCCAAAATGTAGTTATGAAGAAGTACTTATACTTGACCGTGGCTGATATTAGGTTTGACATTAGTAGTATTTAGATTTTCTATTTACAAGTTTTGCGGGTGTTAATTAGACCATTCAGTCAATCTACCCATTTGTCAGTTTTAACACTTATTCGGATGTTTGACAT